TTTTAATGACCCCACCCCATTTTTTTCCTTTCTTGATTATCTCCCCTTGTAAACAGACTTGGCCCTCTATTTTAACAATTTAAACTCCCCTTTACCCAAGGATACATTGTACCAAGTTTGGTTAAAATTGGCCCAGTGGTTCTTGAGAAGTTGAAAATGTGAAGAGTTTTCAGACCGGCAGACGGACGGACAATGGGTGATCAGAAAAGCTCACTTGAGCTTTCAGCTCAGGTGAGCTAAAAAAAAAAAGGCAAATCAATTTTCCAAATGTGAAAAACACCTATTTTGTGGTGGTGATAGTGGGGTCCACATTTTCTAAGGGGGGGGAGGGAGGGGGAGGGGGCCAAAGTCAATTTTTATTTGCTTCAGTATATACTTTTTATAACTCTGCAAATTCCAGGAGGGGGTCCTGACCCCCCCCCCCCCCCCTCTGAATCACATGTCCATCCATCTAGCTGTACGTCCAACTGTCCGTTACGCTTTGGGGAACTCATCTCTTATCCGCAACTCCTCCTATACCATTGAATGAAATTTAATGACACTTTCACATTCTTTATTACATAATGCCATTGTGCACCTCCTATTTTACCTTCTGATCTGACACTTATTTCGGGTCTCGGTGCCGCCGCCCTTAGCAAAACATGGACTTTGTCATTATAATCATATGGGAGGCGGGGGTATCATTTTGTGAGCTCAGTGCTCACAATACCTCTATAGTTTTAAACTTCATTCAATCAAATCTATATAGAGAAGGAACTAATAAATATATGTTTCCCTGAAATGTTCAAAAGCAAATTACTATAAGGCTTGAACTACAAAATGTTAATACATTATAGTATTGTTGGATTAAGTTTCAAATGTTTTGATATAATATAAATTGTTCAAAAATTGATTATTGGGATTCTTTTGTTGACTTCCCTATTACATGTACTTATTTTAGAGTAAAATGATGCTTTAGTTTCAGCTATTAAACAATAAAACTTACTGAGTATTAATTATATTAACTTACCCAAAAGTTTGTTATATTTTTTTGAAAATATTATTTAAATAAATTTGATTTTATGCAATACTTTTTATTTTTATGTGACAATTAAAGTCATGAACTGATACAAAATAATAAAATGATAGCTTAATACACAATTTGATATTACTTAAAGCCTGCTGCAACATTCACTATCCTTGATGTTTATGCTAGAATAAGAATCACTGGAGATACTTGTACACTGTCAGTGTGTTGGTTAATTGTCCCAAATAGAGATTGTTCTCACCATCCACATACACACTACGGGGACGGTGTACCCCTTGTTGTTGAGGGAGTAATAGAGACAAGAACAGACCATCCTGATTAAGGAGGTAAACAGTGTCACTGTACTGATCACACACCAGGATGTGACCGAGGACATCAGTACAGATTCCATAGGGACGGAACTCTGACTCCTGACCTGTGTAGGAGAACCTGTGTTGTCCTGATTTATTCACCACCACTACTCCATTACTAAAGTCTGATGTACAGATATCACCATTGATGTTTTCTGTGATGTATAGTGGTAGTCTATACAGTCTCTGTCCTTTGTTATCTCTCTGTATGTTCTGTAGTTCTTTTCCTGTCTTGTTGTACCTGGTGACTTTACCCTCTGTATAATCAGTCATCCCCACCAGTAGGTCCTTATTGATGTGGGAGGAGTGTATACTGAGTGGTTCCCAGTCTCCAGTTTTAATGAATTCAGTAATATTATTATCCTGTGTTATCCTACTGATGACTTTCTTGTCTCTGTCTGTAAAGATCAGATCCCCGTCCTGTGTCACTGTGTGGTAACCTTCATCTTCACCACTGGTTTTTATCTTCTGTATCACATTCCCCTGTAGATCTATTTGGACAAGATTACCATCATCGTCACTGATCCAGAGTCTGTCTGATTGATCTAGTGATACATGGTATACATCATAAACACCTGGTACATTGAACTCCCTGACCTTGGTGACAGAGGCAGATAGAGACATTGTTTGTTTCTTGTCAGATTTCTTTCTGTCTTCTTTCATCTGTTTATGTGTAGGTTTCATTGCTGTATCGTAGACACTTTCTAAGGGCCTTATTTCTCTTTTCTCTGCTTTAGTGTTGGGGACATGTATTTTACCAAATAATTTGGTGACATCACTTTTGCTGTATTGACCAGCAGTAAATCCAGGTGTGACTGGTTTTGTTGTCTCTGGTATGGATCGGATCTTTGGCTTCTTCTCAGACATTAATTTCTGGGTTTCTGTAGAGGACAGACATATGTGGAGCTCTTTGACAAGATTATTAAGATATGTGATGTAATCATCCATGGTCTTGTCTTGGGTGTTTAGATCTTCTAACAGTGAATGCTCTATCTGGTCTAACTGCTTCATGTTCTCAGAAACGACTGTGTCCACTAGACTTTTCAGAGACTCACCTTCAGTCTTCATGGATGTTCTGATGTTGTCCATGATGTGTTTGATTTCTGATGAATCTTTTTTAATTCTTTCCTGTAAATCTTGTGATATAGGGAGAAAGTATTCATGGATTTTTCTAATTTCTTCTTGAAAGTCTGTATATTTTTCTGCATAAACAGTCTCTAGGTCAGTAAATATATGCCCCCGATGCTCTCTTTGTGTGACACATTTGGAACATACTGGAATTTGGCATTCTTCACAGAGCATGTCTACATCTTTAGTGGGGTGGATCTTACATTTCTCCACAGGAAGTTGACGTTTGCGTTGCTGGTAAAGAACCACCTCATGGTTCTTGTTTTCTTGACTTCTCAGATGTTCCTCGCTGCATTGCTTGCACAATCTTAGATGACAAGGGTTGCAATAGAACTCGCAGTTTCTTTCACATTCTTCAATGCCACATTCTAAAAAGTGTTGGGCTCTGCGGGGTATATCTATTTTAGATAATGCCATCTGAAAATGAATAAGTTTGTGTATAAAAAAAAGAAGAAAATGAATGTATTCTTTGTTACATTTGTAAGATATAGATCTACAATACAGCTATGTTTTCTATAGTATTCTATATATCGGCAAAATTATTGTGGGGGGGGGGGAGGCGTGGCACGCCCCCCGTGCCCCTCAGGTTCCTACGGCCATGATTTATTAAGTTGTCCTTAATCTTTTTAGCCTGTCTCTAGATAAAAGCACTGCAGTGCAAGAAACAAGTCCACGCATGTCATAAAATCATAACTGAGCTTCAAGGCTCAGTAATGATTGATATATATATATATATATATATATATATATACTTACGGTTTTAGAATTGCCTGAACTTCGAAGTGGAAGAATGCGATAACATTAATTCACTTCCTCATTGGAGATAAAGTTCTATAGATTTAAAACGGACCGGACTACTAAATATTTTTTGCGGAAATGTTAGTAAAATATATTAGTATCAGAAAGAAGTGTTAAATGAAAGCATGTGTTCATTAGGTTCAGATAGTACATAATATTTTTTAACTTGAAAATTGTCCAATAAATTTAAAGAGTAAAATAAAATGGTTTCCGAATAAAAAAAATCCATACAGGACTGTTTGTTTTCTATAGATTATCTGAATGCCGGTACAGCGAAGAACGAATGAGATAATTAATTGCAATGTTATGCATATATAAATGACATACATTTATGTCTGCTTGAACCTTGAGGAATTTCGTAGAGTTTTAATTTCGAATTAATTTTGATTTTTTTTTTTCATTTGATTTCCAAACCATACAATACAACAGGCGCGGATCCAGGAATTTTTTTCCGGGGAGGGGGGGGGGTCCACCCCAGTCAAAAAAAAAATTCAAACCAAAAAATTTCTTGACAAGCAAAAAAAAAAAAAAAAAAAAGAAAAAAAAAAAGAAAAAAATAATAAAAAGAAAAGAAAGAAACCAAAATTCCTATCCCTATCCAAAAAATTTCTTGACAAGCAAAAAAAACAAAAACAAAAACAAAACAAAACAAAAAACAAAAAAAAAAAAACAGAAACGTAAAATCCATTTCCATAACGTGAAAAACACCTATTTCCTGGTGGTGAGGGTGGGGTCCACGTTTTTTAGGGGGGGGGGGGTCCAAAGACGTTTTTTATTTGCTTCAGTATATACTTTTAGTAACTCTGCAAATTCCAGGGGGGGGGTCCGGACCCCCCCCCCCAGATATGCGCATGTACAAACTGTCTGTTAAAATCGAGTAATATTTGTATATTTATGTTGAATTGCATTCAGAAATCGAAAATAGTTCAGGTCCATGGGATTCTGGGGAAGGGGTACATGAATGATCATGGCCAAAAGTGCTGCCAGTGTAGGAACACTATACATGTATTATATAGTAATACAATCATATAGGCGCTCCCATTCCAATTTAGTCAATATAAATAAATGTCTTAATATCCTCATACTATTAGGGTATTAAATTATTATATCCTACACTAAACTACTTAAAAATCAATGTTGACTTAAATTTATAGTATAGGGGTACATTATGTTTTAAGTACTGATTTGGTTTGGGAGCTTTTGATAACTTCACAAGAAAACCAACTTAAAAATAACAGTTTCAACCCCCCCCCCCCCAAAAAAAATAATTTATAGTAAAGAAATTTCAGTCCCCCCCCCCCTTCCGCCTCAACTGAATTGCACCCCATTCGACTGATTTTCTTTATTTATGTTTTTTCTTTCTTTCTTTTTTCTATCTTTATTTATTTATTTCTTTATTTATTTGTTTGTTTTTGTGTTTTTATTTATTTATTTTTAAATTGAAGAAGTGTCGTTTTTATCCGGAAAAATTATCTGTCGCCTTTAATATACCGGAAATACCACTAGAGCATGGAGACGTTGCGCATTCTGTAACCAAAACAACATGGCGGCACTGTGAGCCAACATTCCTGGCTGATCAGATAAAACATTTTAAATTTTAGGTTGGAATTGGAAATATCTTAATTTTAGCTACACTGCTAAGATTTTAAGTGCTTTGTAAGAAGTTTGGAAAAAGTCGAATTGTCTAGAATTCTTGGAACGTTTGAGATCAGTGCGTGAGTGCTTCAAAATGAAGATACATTACGTATGAAAGGAAAACTAGAAAATGTTAGCTGGTGCTTATTCGTATCCTTTTTCATATATTGAAGAAGTTTAATCTTTACATTGTCTTGATGAACCCGGGAGTACAAGTGGAGAATATTGAAGTATAACAAAATAATCAAGTTACATTTGTATGATTTCCCATGGTTTGTGATAGGATGTGATTATTATCCAACTCGATTTTTCCTCCAAGGCATGACGAGGGAACAAAAATCCACAAAATCATCTGGGTAAAAGTCATATCTTACCGCATACCACGGGGTATTCTTTTTTATGACATGTTTTACACATTGTTGTCACGTGTTTTACACAGTTTCTAAATATAAGTCCACATTTATGAGCTTCATATAAACATTCATGCAAAAAGCATTGACATCTCAACGATGTGATATGAAACAAAAATGTATGTCCTGTTATCAACTTAAGGAGTAAAGTTAAAACTAAATAAAGCACAGGCACCTGAAGTGTGGATACGTACCCCTAGCCCACCTCCAATTCCAATTTCTTCATTGACAGTGATAAAGGGGGTTTTGGTCTTATCACTTCATTTTTCTTTATCTGCTTGGTTAACAGTTATACTGTATACAGTTTGAATTATTATCTAATCAGATAAAGCGAAACAGATCGGCATACATCAGAACCTCCTTTATTGCCGTCAATGATAAAATGTTACACTGTATGTGTCCGTTTAATAAATTGTCCGATTACAGCATATAAGACACTAAGGATACAGTTTAGGTTAAAGAAACTAGTAGGAGAACATCTCCGTGACAGAGTTCTTGGAGAAAAAAAAAGATAGGTAACATTGTTATTACCTTGGAAATATGTCTCAAAGCAGGGAACCTCCTGTTTGTTTATCAATTTTGTTTCTTAATGTGTATTTTTATTATACCATATATAGCCAATCTCTAAATGTAAGAAAAATTACAATCTGCTTGCATAGAATGGAATATGGATGTCATTGATCTGGAAATCTCATAATTTTTTTAATCAAGGTGGGGAAGGGGGGATATCCACTTCTCAGCCAAGGTGCCTATGGATAAACAAGAGCATCGCAAAGCATAGCATCCCCTCGTAAAAGAGCACATCGATCCCAAAATAAATTATTAACTTCCATTACCCACTCACGCACATACAAGCTCACTCACAAACACAGTCACAAGCACATTACTAATTTACTTTATCCCCTCCAACTTCATTGTGTGGGGATAATAATTCTGTAAAATATTTTAATTGTTTGATCTGATAAAAACTATAAATATCAGCCATCGATCATGAGATATTAACATCATGCTGAACTTGTGATAAAAACATTTTCTGTATCATGATAGATATCTCAATGAAGAAAGTGGTATTTTTTCAAATATTTTATAAACAAGTATTCTGTCCTTAATATCATGTCAGAAAAACATACCAATACTTAGAGAAACAGCGTATAGATCAGTTAAAACAGCTGAAGACTGATGAAGTGGGAGATGCTGTTGCCAGAGCAAAGAAGCTCTCGGTGGAGACCAACAAAAGACGGAAGTATGAATTGTGTTCTCAAAATATATGGAACAAACTTAGTCCCAGACCTATTAGACACTGTACAGATTTTCTTTTATAAGGTCATATAAAATCAAATAAAAAAAAGCAAATCACCTAATATAATTGTGTATTTTCAGAGCACAAGCCACAAAGAGAAAATTGGAGAAAGAGAGAGAAGAAAAAAGAAGACAACAGATTTTAATAAAACGGAGAGAGGAACAACAGGAGGCTACAGAGAAATATCAGCGATCTCACGTCCCATCACGGCCGCCAAGTGGTAGGCACTCAAGGTCAAGGAAAAGTAAGTGTCTAAACAGAGAGAATATTGTAGTTTTTTTTTTTATTGTTGCAACAGAATTAGAGCTTTGTGACCATGCTGTGTATTTAGAATTGAAGATAGCATTCATACTTGCTCTGTTTAGAAGTACACTAGTGTAAATAATGTATAGTTTCATAATAAGATCTGTTCACATTCAGACTACTCGTCTTTAGCACAGAGAATTTACAAAGTGGGTTACTGATGTGAAATTTATTATCACAGATATGTATTTTCTACCCAAAATGAATTTTCTCTTCAATACTTTTTATTGCAGATGCCCCATCCCCAAGTCGGAATCTGGAAGAGACACTGAGACTGGTCAGAGGAAATTCTGGTGTACAGAGACAGAACAGTGCAGGTTCAACAGGCAGTCACACAAGTCCTCGACAGACCTACACTGAGGCTCTAAATAGACCATACTTCAATAAATACTCTCACTTCCACTCCCCTATTATCCAGAACGACAGACCAAGGGTCAATAGTTCACAGGATAAACTGCACAACAGGAGCTTGAAGAACTTGAACAGCAGCAAAAGTTTGTTTGAGCAAAAATTAGAACAACAGCAACAGCAGTTGATTGATCAGCAGAGAAGAGCTTTTAATGAATTCAGTGAAGAAGTTCAGAAAGAGATTGACAATGGAGAATATGTTGCAGATGACAGTGTTAGTCTGTCCAGTGCTGATAGTTTGGACGAATCTCATAATTTCACGGAAGGAGTTCCGACAAGCTTGCCACAGCAAAATAATCTCTTAAAAAATGAACAAGTGATCAATTCAAAGTCCTCATTGCAGGACAATGTTCACACACATCAAAGTGTCAGAGACATTTCTTTTCATTTGAACAGTGCTTATGGACAAAATAATGGAGTTGAATACCCAGACAGAAATGAGAAAATTGACTCATACAATGTAGAACAAACATGGGGAAATAATAATAATCTTCCCTTAAGTGGGATCCCCAGACCGGAAGTGCAAAAGACTGTGTCTCAAAACACAGATGTGAAAAACAGACCAAAGGTTCAGCTACGTGCATGGTCCACACCATCTCCTGTGGATTCCCAGCATTCATCTGTGTCAAACGCTCACATGACCAATAGTAACCCTTATAGTTCAAGGCCATCCATGACAGCTGTGACCTCAACAACTGCATATCAGGACAGGAATTCCCAAAGAAATTATGGCCCAAACAGTGGAGGGAGGGATGATAGAAATGTCACCTGGGACGGTACAACTGGCTCCCAAAACCAGAATTTAAATGGTTACAGTGACTCTCAGGGTGTGAACATCAACAATCCGCCAAGGAGTGTGAGTGATGTCAGTAGAGGGTACACCAATGGTTATCTGTATACCTCAGAAAATCCCAAAAGTGCTCAATCCAATGGCAACAGAATACCAGACACTGGTCCTTCCAAACCTATGGAATTCCTACATACAGTCACTAATACACCGGATACCTCTGACAGATCAGTAAACCCTGACAGGGAGATGGTGGCGCCCCCTGTTCAGGAGACAAAGCCCAGTCGGGTCCCCCGGCCTGTGAGTGCAGTGAGGATACAGAAGGTGGTGAAGTACAATGTAATCCCCCCTCCTTCCACCAATGAGGACAGTACACACCCAACATCTGATGCTCTATTGGAGGACAAGATGGAAAGTGGAAAAAACGGTGCTGTGCAAAAAGTGGAAATAGTTCCCAAACAACCTCAAGTCTTCATTAATACCACCTCTGGGGACCGACCACAGGTCAAACAAGTCACACAGGTCAAGTTTACAGCCAATGTTGTAAATGGGGGTGTTAATATGAACAATTATGGTAAAATGAATGTGCAACCTCTTCCTAATAAACCATTGATAGCTGGAGTGACTGAGAAAAAAGAGCATCCTCCAGCTGCCACCACGGTAACGAGGAAGGCTAAGGATGATGCAGACCTGGTGGTGAGGAATCACAGTGAGGCTAGGGAGGATGACTCGGGGGTCAAGGGCATTCTAAAAAGACCTGGGCCCAAACTGAAAAAAGCTGGATCTACTGGCAGTGTTAACAGTATGGATGTGAAGGATAGTATAGAAATAGCTCGCATTCATATGCATCATCACCATCCCAAGCAGGTAAAATGGCTGTACTATACATACTTAATTCAATATTTTGTGAATTCTACCAGATTTATTTAGTCGGACTGTTCTTGTTAAAATTATTTTAGGAATTTTAGCTCTATCCTTTGATAACAAACCTTGGTCCTTGAATAACTCTTGTATAAGTATCTTGAAGTTCAATCCTGACTAAATTAAGTAAACATTAAAATATTTCCTTGTATTTACGTTTTCAAAAAAATATTTCCTAATTGACACCACTACTTCTAGACTGCTTTTTCCCTACTGAGAGATCACATTCAAATGTTAGCCACACCTAGTGAAATCAAGTGATCTCTTAATAATAAAGGAATAATCCCGACTTTAACTGTCATTATTATTATGTTGGCAAGCTTAAGTCTAGATATAAACATGATTAATTTTAAAAAAAAATTGTTGTTTGTCTATATGGAGAAATCAACTTTGAAAGCTGTGTCTAATATAGATATCATTCATCCAATTTATTAATGAGTCAGTTGGCAGACAAATGTTTCATGAATGGTCAATCTGGTTAAAATCAGATCCTCAATTTCTTCTTTTTCTTCACATGTAGCAACAATAAAAAAAAGCATGCTTCAAGGTTTTGATCAGATTGCATGAAAGTAAGCTTAGACCTATATTTACTTTTGATATCTTGTTTATTGCAATAAATATATTTTAGATACCAAGAAAGAAGAGTGTTCGATTTGCAGACTTGCATTACCCGAGCGAAGAGGAAGCGGAACCTGAGGCGAACAGTGAGAGCTCTGGTGAGTCCACTGAAATATAAACACTTTAGAGTTTATTACTTAATTATTTATAATCTCTTCTCATATGTATTACAATTTATATGTATGTTTAGTGATTAGTAAACATGTTGCTTCTTTTTAAGTAACCCCCTTGTCAATAAGAAAATATGATCATTAAAATTCCAAATATTTAATTTTCAGGAGCCAGTGGACATGGTCATTCCTCCAGACCTGTGTCAGCCAAAGTGACCTCTCATGCTGCAAAGGCCCAGAGTAATGTCCCCCGAGCGATGAGTGCCGGGCATCGGCCACAGATAAGACACAAGTCCACTATCCGCCCCCAGGCTGCGGCCCACATCATCACTCAGAGTAATTCACCAGCCTCTGCCATGTTGAATGCCCAGAAGGCCACCGATAAGAAAGTAACAGTGGTCAATAATAACTTCATGGCCAAGGTGCCAACTTCACTGACTCCTGCCTATACTGAGGCCACGGTGTACACAGTGCCAGGGGTCAAGATGAATTATACGAAAACGACCCCTGGCACAATGCCAAGACAGGAGGATCTTGGTTACTATGGGAAAGAAAATGGTGTCCAAATGGCTGCAGGTTCAGATGTACCTATTCAACACTCTAGCATTCAGGGACCAGTTTTCAATGAAAATGGCATGAGAATTGATAGAACTCCTACCGATGAAGAAATTAACTTTTTATGGGAGAAAGTGAGAACTTGTCTGCACAGGCCTACAGGTCCAAATGACAACATGCCAGCTTCAGAAAATCACCAGGTATCTCAGCCCACAGAACCTCCAAGACAAGCAGCACAAATGTCCCACCAGTACATAGATGGTGCTGCGCTCAATAAAATTGTTGCTGCTGGCAGGACACAGCCAGTTATGACTGCCCCTCCCAGTGGGGTGCAGAGCACAGTTAAAAACGGTGAGCAGACGTATGCCAGGAGGTATGGTCTGCTTCAACAACGCAAACAGCAGAATCCGAACAGTTTGAACAAGGGACCAGTGGTCTCACAGAGGCAGTTTGTTACGACATACAATGGACCTGTGTATAGTAACAATGAGCCCTCCCAGAATCCAGCCTACCAACCCCCACAGGATGGTGAGAAAAATATCTTTTGAAATTTTAATTTTTCTAAAAGTCTGAAATGAAAATTAAAATCTTATATTTTGCATTAAGAAAAGATTTTAGGACTGCTTTTGAACTGACAAGATCAATGCAAAAAAAAAGAAGATGAAAATACACACTGTGATTTTATTTAAATTCATCATCAAGCTGATTTAAAACAAGATCTCTTTATCATCTTACAGGGATTGCTATTCACATAATTCATCAGCATCTTTTTTTGTCAGTGGTTATGACTAAAAAAAAGTAAAATGCCGTTACTAATGTATCCTTGATGTTACAGTTTCAGAAAGTATGGCTGCCTTCTTGACAGCTGAGCACCTAGCCCAGCATTCCATGTCCGAGAGTCAGATCCAGAACGCCATGGATCAGGCTCAGCGGAACCAGCAACTCATTGTGGCCAGTAAACCAGCACAAAAGAGTAAGTAACTGACCCGCATACATCAATTATGTAATGTTACTCAGGCTTTTCAAAATCTGCTGGTACCTTTTACTTTTTCCTGGCTGAAATCATGATTGCGGTGTACCTCTCAAAATATTCGATGGAGAAAAATTTGATAACATATTTTAATAAAATTGCTTCCACAAGGTACATGTAACTCCAGGACCTATTTTTGTAAAAGTACCACCTGTTTCTAATCTTTTTGAAAGCCCTGTAACTGAAGAAATTTGAAGTCTCTTGTACAGTTTCTAAAGTCTGGTTATTTCCCTTGTAGGATGGCCGTTGGTCAATTTTGGAAAATGAAAAATAGTTTATATTAATCAAAGTGATTGGAGTATTCATTGCTAACAGTTTATACTTTTGGCACGTAGGGGCTGGTAAATACCAGTGTAAAAGAATTTAATGAATGAAATTGCTACAGTAAAACTCGTTTAGTACGAACATGGATATTGCAAATTCACGGATATAGTGAAGTTTTCTTGGATTCCCAGCTATATAATTTTTATGAATTCCTTATACGGATATAAGGAATTATGGATATAGTGAAGTAATTTCACAGGTCCCAGTGACTTCGTTATAACAGAGTTTTTACTGTAGTAAATACCAGCTAGTGTAAAAGAAATTTTAATTACAACAGTAGTTTGATATGCAGAAATATGTTGCAGGGTCAAAAGCATAATCAAATTATTTTCATGATTTTGAAATCAATTTTACAATTCTCCATTAATTTATTGTAGTTCCTTCTGCACTTTCGATAGAAGAGCAAAGATTGTTAGACTCTTTGGATCGACTGAATGAAAGACTGAAAAGTAAGTCAAGTGTGGAACAAACTGAATGGCTAAAAAGAACCATGTCTCCTGGCTAAAAGTACACTGATTTAGATGGTTTATAAATGCACATATTTTTACACACAGGCATTTGATGATTCAAATGTTTATCTTCATGAAATTTTTTTTTCTTTTATTTATCAACTTCAAGGGAATTTTTTATAAATGTCAAGTTCCTGTGAATTTAAGTGTATGAAGTGATTTCTTTTTAAAAACCTTAAGCCTTGCATTATAAATGAACAGTAATTTTAATGTTTATTGCATTAAAAAGATGCTGTAGGTGTTTAATAGGTGTAATACTCTAAACATGCAAACTTTCCTTTGCGTGCAACTGTCTTTGAGTCTGCAGGTAATTAAGAAAAAAATATTGTCAAAAATTCATCACTCTAAATAAATACAGTCAAACCACATTATCTTGAACTCAATGGGACTGAGAAAAAACAGAGACATCCAGGGTATGAAATTGAGGTATGAGATTGAGATTTAGGTGAAGAAACTTTGAACTCACTTCGACATACCCATTGTATTCGAGATATATCAACGTTCAAGATACTTAAGTTCAGTGGTATTTTATTAGTCCCCTACCGGTGAAACCGGAGGGGACTATAGGTTTCCTCTGAGTCTGTCCGTCCGTCTGTCTGTCTGTCCATCTGTCTGTCTGTCCCTCTGTCTGTCTGTCAGTCTGTCCCACTTGGTTTTCCGCACTTTTTTCCTAAACGCTTGCAGATATTGAGCTGATTTTTGGTATGTGAGTGTATATTGATGAGTTACAGATCAAGTTTGCATTTCGTTCCGCTTCATTGATTTTTGACGGAATTTTTAAGGGTTTTCCGCAATTTTCTTCTAAACGCTTGTAGATATTGAGCTGATTTTTGGTATGTAGCTTTACCTTGATTAGTTATAGATCAAGTTTGCATTTCGTCCCGCTTTATTAATTTTTGACAGAATTATGGCATTTTCAATTCTTAACGGAAACCAGATTACACTTGCCGGTAGGGGACTAGTATTGCTAATGCAATACTCTCAGAATGCTTGTTAATTTAATTAATGCAAAACTTTTAGACAGTTCGGGACAAAATACTCATAGAAGAAAAACTGTGGAAGAAATAAGCTATGAATGAGATATAGTTATCCTTAAAGGTTAACAAAAATGAAAATTGTTTTTTCTTCTTTTTTTCAGTCACAGAATTCCCAGGGAATTTGTTACAAGAGCAAACACAACCTCTAGCCCCCCAGCCAGAGCCTCAACAGTATATCTATGTAAGTAAAATTAATGAGTCCATATCGTTACTGTTTACTTTCTTTATATATTGTTTTTCAACAATTCTACAGTGTCTCTGTCTTTAAAGTTAATAATCACCAAAATTGACATGAGTAGAGTTCTAGTGCTTATGTAGCACTGAATTCAAATCATAAATAAAATCCCTTTTTCTTTTGGAGTTGTTTTAATCACATTAGGCCTTCTATAATTACGTTTACTCAAGTATCGGTAGTAAAAAGGTAATACATATGTGTAGAAAACAAAATCTGATTCTTTATATGCCAGCATGCATGTAGCATTGCTTAGAAATATATGCATCATAATTATACAACTTTATATTCATTGTGTATACTGTAAATGTTTTGCCGTTTTAAGGTTTTCCATTTGTTTTTATAATCTTATGCTTAATTAAATGAACATATATTTTTTTTTTTAGAATATTTTATTGTTTTGTAGATTGATATAGAAAATGACTGTGAATATTAAGAAATCAGGTTATTTCTATTTTATTTTGGAATTAAAACAGGAAATGTAGAAGGCTGTGTTGCTATATTTGGAAATAGGCTGTGTATGGTAGATTTTGCAGGAATTCCCTTTTTTCCTCCCTTTTTTTTCAATTTGATTATAATTAAAATTCAGACATGTATAAATTATTTGGTCCGTTACAAATATATCAACAAATTTGATTTCATTATTAATGAAATTAAAAAGCATGGAATGAAATGTATATGATCATAATTAAAGTGTGATTATGAATTAAATATATTACTCATCTTGTGAAATCTTGGATTTTACTAGTAATTAAAAATTTGTTAATTTGTTTATATTTCTTGTGAAATCTTGGGGGTTTCTAGTATTAATTAAAAATCTGTTAATTTGTGTGAATTTCAGCCAGAAGCTACAAATATAGAGAATGTAAGCTAAGTTTCTACGATGGATTTTTTTTATGGTAGTGGACTATCAATACACATGTTTTGTGTTGTTTTTAAGTTGCACATTATAAGCCTGATTTGGGACCAAAATGAATTAGAATATATTTTATTTACCATTTACTCTGCTTGTATTGTTGTTGGATAGTAAAAAATGTTGTTGACTAATTTGTATTATGATGATGCAGCAAAGCTTTTTTATTTCTTTTAAAGAGGTTTGTCTAATTTAATTTTTAATTTTTTTTCTTTCAATTGGTAGAACTCAGATAAGATTTTGGGCTAGTTGGTTTAATTGTGCGCAGTATATATATATGTTTTATGTTTTTTTTTAAAACTTGACATACAAGATAGCTGCTATTTACTGGATTCGTAAGACAACTGACGCAATGACTATTTAGTGCAAAATACATGGCTCACACATGTGTACCTTGTATTGATTGTATAGACCATGGTTTAACTTCAGAGATGTTATTTATATACACGTTTCATGCTTTAGAAAAGAGATTAAAACCTTACCTTTCCAACAACTTATTGAAAAAGATTTTATTGACAACACAGAAATGATCTTAAAGGGGAGACAAATTGATGCAATGTGCATGGGGAGCTTATTTGTGTTGCTTGGTTGTAGAATATTATATTAAACAAAAGGGGTATTTAAATGTCTATTGATTTAATTTTAATTTCAAATTAATAAGAGTATCCTTAAACACTATTATGTTGGGGGTGTTTGGAAATTAACATGTACCAAAAAATATAAGAAATACAAACAAACAAAAAAGAAAAAAAATTGCATGGCATGTGCATGCATTCAAACAAAAAAAAGAATGGATGATTGATTTTAATATTTTACATTGAACATGCATGGACGTAATTTTATTTTAGTTTTCTGAACTGGTACCAATTACTAGCATTTTGGCTACAGGATGAATATAATTCTTATTATAAGTGACTGTTAATTTTCGATAGACTGAATCTACAATATAGTCTAAGATGATTTCATATCTTCACATTGATTATCACTGTATATGATTTGCATTTTCTATTGTAAAAATTAATCTTGATTTTAACATTTCATTTTTAGCCAACTGGGGCATTTAAAGGAAAACAACCCTTGAATTCTCAGAGAAGATTAACAGACAGTGCTCGAGGGGGATACCGAGGAGGGGTCAGGCAACAAATATACAGATATCCATAGATTATACACACCTTGGTCGTATTGCTGCAGATATCTCCTAGTGTAGAAATTTCAGATATCCATAGATTATACACACTTACCTCTATTGTATAGCTACAGATATCCCTGTCCCAGAGTCCAAAAAGTTCAGATATCCACAAAGGTGCTGACATCTGTAAATCCATAAAGAGCAGATATCCACAATGGTGCAGATATCCATAAATTCAGAAGGAACAGATATCCACAATGGTGCAGATATCCATAAATCCAGAAAGAACAGATTTCCACAATGTGCAGATATCCTTGAGTTCATCAATGAAAGTACAGATATCTAGAATGGTGCAGCTGTAGTATTGAAGGATTACTACAGGTATCCCTAGTAGGGATTCTGTTCCAGACCTTGTAATTTTTTCCAAGTGGCCAGAAAAAGCAATGGCTGTTCTGGCAAGTAGCCAGTATTCTAACAAAATGGGTCTGGTTTGATCTGGCAACAGATATCTCAAATTGTTGTGGCAAAAGATGTTTGTTTTTTTTCAAATGACAACTACATAAATGTTGAATTGTTCTGACAACAGATATCTAGTACATGTATTGTTTTGACAACAGATACCTAAAATTGTTCTGGCATTAAATATCAAAAGCTGTTATGACAGTAGTTGTAATCTAAAATTGCTCAGAAAATGGATATCCAAAGTTGTCATGGAAAAAGATCCAGAAATCCGTTAATATTTTTTTTGCATAATCAGCTCATTGTTTGACGGTGCTACATTGTGTTTTATTTAGGACGCAATATATTTTAACATTGAGATGAAATGTGTCTTTTTTTTAATTAGAAACTTTTTTTTCACAAATATTTGTTATTGATAGATACATTCCAGCCAATTTTACTTTCCGTCCTAAAAAAAAATGATTTTTATACATTTTATTTTTCTCATTTAATAGTTTAATCAAATGTACATGAATTAATTCTTTTTCTTTCTTTTTAACTCTTTTTTAATGCAAAAAGTTATTTTTTTCCCACACATTCCATATAATGTGTAAATGTATACATGTGTTGTTATACAAAGTCACCTAATATATATTTTAGTTTTCTATAGATTGACACATTGCCACTTTTTAATAAACTTTGTTAGTTATTCACGCAATTCATGCAGTTACATGTATAACAATGCTATTAAAATGAAGTTCTATTGTTTTTTTGTTTTTTTAATTTTTTTTTTTTTTTTTAAATCAAATTAAAATATTTTGTGCTTTATGGCATTTTATATTTCACAGTGCCAACTCTTTCTTGAAATGAATACAATGAAATGTATGCCATGTACAAGATAATCAAACATAACAAAGGGCACCAATTCCTGTAGAGAACAAATAGTTTAATATATTTGAACCATTAGAAATGTAACATGTGGTTTTTTTTGTGTGTGTTTGTTTTTTTTTTTTTTTAGAAACTGTGAAAATTAAAAATTAAAGTTTATTTGCATACATATTATGAAACATTTTACAATATTTGTAATCAGCTAAATTATGATCCAAGTATTTGAAATTTTCAGCACAATTTGAAAGATTTAATTTAAAATAGAAAAGTAATTGTTAGACACAAATCCTGTTCACATGTATGTACTTAACAGAAAGCATGATCAACTTAATTCTGTGCAAAATTTTTTTGCTGATGTGTCATATTATCTGTACTGCATTTTAATGCATTTATTTATTGAAGACCCAAATACATGTATATCAAAATGCCATATTGTTTAAATGAGAAATTTTTTATTTAATTGTAATTGAAATACATTGTAAATCATCTAGTCGTGTAATATACAGTTGAACTTCATTATCTCGAACACCGATATCTCGAATACCAGGGATATGTCAAAGTGATTTGGCAGTCCCAACAACTTGCTCTTTATGTTTTTTAAGCTTGTTATCTCAAATCCTCAGATATCTCAAAGTTTAATCTCAGTTCTGTCAAGTTTGAGATAATGAGGTTTGACTGTACTATAGTTTCAGCATCTCTTTTGTAAAATTCTATATTCAGTCTTGTAAAGGTATACAGTATATACTTTACAATTTCTACAGAAATTGTAGAATATATTAACTCAAATTTATTTTTGATTTGTTAAAAGACACAGTCAGCTGTCAAATACCTTCATTCTAATTAAGCCACATTGTTTAATCTGCTTCAAATGAAAATGGATTAAAACCAGTGTCTTGGGATGTTGATGAATCACTGAAAACTTTTATTATTTTGACAAAAAGTATTATTGAATCCAAGTTACAGTGTCGGGAAAAACATTTTACAACAATTACAGATGTTAGATTTTATAGATTTTTAAATCAAATGAAAGTTGTATGTCAGACAAGGGGGAAAATTTTTCTAAAAGTTTATCTATTAGACCATGTTTCATCTTGTTTGAGTTGTGGATGTGCCAAGTTAGATAGATATTTTAAACTAGGCCAATTTTAACTCTAGTTAATTTGTATTTAAAAGGGTAGAAAAATAATTTTATACTTGATATAATTTTTGTTATCAAATGAAAGAGATATATATAGTAACATGACATCACAACTTTTTCCTAATGGAAAGTGACAATTTAATAGGTAGTTACATGTATACAAACATACATGCATGTATTTATTTAATTTATCCCAATATACTAGTATACATGTATATATATTTATTTTAAATTAGTACAAGTAATATACATTATACTAAACACTTTAGGGAAATGTATATGCTGAATTTTCTTTCACTTGATTTCAGTTTATAGAATCGTAATTTCTTAAATTTGAATTTTAATGGAACTAAAATTAAATGATATGTAATAATAATTTTATTAAATATACCAACAAGTTTCTTGTGCCGGGAATTCAGATAGCTTGAGTGTGATATGCATTTCTAATACTCAGACCAGGAAAAATGTTTCCTTTTATGCTTTTGCAAAGGTAGAATCTAGTCCAAGAATTGATTTCATATATACGTGTACTAAGCTTTCTATTGCTAAAGGGGGGTAACTCTAACTATAATTGGTATTTGCTTTGTATATTATTATATTTTCATTCATAATTCAGGTATAGGAAATTAAGAAATTAAGTGCAAAAACGGCATATGATTTAGTCTATAGTCAATCAGGTTTCAAATAGATCTCTTTATTTTCAGCATCTTAAAGTATATCAAGAATTTATTAAGAATTGATTTCATATTTATGTTTACATTTTGTGAATTCGTGTTTCAATTGGTTGATGAAAAACACATTTTGCTTTGAAGGTTCACATATTACGTCAAATGTTACAGTCTTTTTAATTTTTTTTTCTTGTAAAGAAAATATGTGTACATTCAGTGTTTAGACAGAGCTAGATTTTTTTTAATACATGTTGAATGAAAGAACATGTAAATACTTTGTACATGCGGAATACAACATGTACACAAGACATCGATTTTTACATTGTATGTAAAATGTACTTGGAAAATTGTTTAATTCTTCAATGTGTTGTTACATTGCACTGTTAGACTAAAGTAATAAAAAAAGAAATACCTACAAATATTTTAATTTATTTCATTTTTAGAACGGAGGCAAATTAATTCAGTTTGTTTAATATGTTGAATATTGGAACTATTCAGAAAACTTTGGGAGTTGGCTGTTAGTTAAATTGTAATGAGAATTAAGCACTTAATTCTGTTTAAAAAAAATTCAAAATTAATAGCTTTTTAGCTCACCTGAGCCGAAGGCTCAAGTGAGCTTTTCTGATCACATTTTGTCTGTAGTCCGTCTGTCTGTCCGTCTGTAAACTTTTCACATTTTCGACTTCTTCTCAAGAACCACTGGGCCAATTTCAACCAAACTTGCCACAAAGTATCCCTGGGTAAAGGGGATTCAAGTTTGTTCAAATGAAGGACCACGCCTTCTTCCAAGGGGAGATAATTAAGAATTCGTGAAAAATTAATGGCATCATTAAAAAATCTTCTTCTCAAGAACCACTGTGCTTGAAAACATGAAACTTATGTGGAAGCATCCCCAGGTAGTGTAGATTCAAGTTTGTTCAAATCATGACCCCCGGGGATAGGGTGGGGCCGCAATGGGCCATCAAAGTTTTACATAGGAAATATACAGGAAAAATCTTTAAAAATCTTCTTCTCAAGAACAGCAAAACCATAATTGGTCATATTTATATGGTAGCATCCTCAGATAGTGTAGATTCAAGTTTGTTCAAATCATGACCCCCGGGGGTCGGGTGGGGCCACAATGGGCGATCAAAGTTTTATATAGGAATATATAGGAAAAGTCTTCAAAAATCTTCTTCTCAAGAACAGCAAAGCCATGATTGGTCATATTTACTTGGAAGCATCCTCAGGTAGTGTAGATTCAAGTTTGTTCAAATCAAGACCCCCGGGGGTAGGGTGGGGCCACAATGGGCGATCAAAGTTTTACATAGGAATATATAGGAAAAATCTTTAAAAATCTTCTTCTCAAGAACAGCAAAGCCATAATTGGTCATATTTACTTGGAAGCATCCTCAGGTAGTGTAGATTCAAGTTTGTTTAAATCATGACCCCCGGGGGTCGGGTGGGGCCGCAATGGGCCATCAAAGTTTTACATAGGAAATATACAGGAAAAATCTTTAAAAATCTTCTTCTCAAGAACAGCAAAACCATAATTGGTCATATTTATATGGTAGCATCCTCAGATAGTGTAGATTCAAGTTTGTTCAAATCATGACCCCCGGGGGTCGGGTGGGGCCACAATGGGCGATCAAAGTTTTGCATAGGAATATATATGAAAAATCTTTAAAAATCTTCTTCTCAAGAACAACAAAGCCATGATTGGTCATATTTATATGTTAATTAGCATCCTCAGGTAGTGTAGATTCAAGTTTGTTCAACTCATGACCCCCGGGGGTCGGGTGGGGACACAATGGGCGATCAAAGTTTTACATAGGAACACATAGTAAAAATCTTCTTCTCAAGAACAGCAAAGCCATGATTGGTCATATTTATATGTTAGCATCCTCAGGTAGTGTAGATTCAAGTTTGTTCAACTCATGACCCCCGGGGGTCGGGTGGGACCACAATGGGCGATCAAAGTTTTACATAGGAATATATAGGAAAAATCTTTAAAAATCTTCTTCTCAAGAACAGCAAAGCCATGATTGGTCATATTTACATGGAAGTATCCTCAGATAGTGTACATTCAAATTTATTCAACTCATGACCCCCGGGGGTCGGGTGGGGCCACAATGGGCGATCAAAGTTTTACATAGGAACACATAGTAAAAATCTTCTTCTCAAGAACAGCAAAGCCATGATTGGTCATATTTATATGGTAGCATCCTCAGATAGTGTACATTCAAATTTGTTCAAATCATGACCCCCGGGGGTCGGGTGGGGCCACAATGGGCAATCAAAGTTTTATATAGGAACACATAGTAAAAATTCTAAAAAAAAAAACAATTTGTTAAGAATAGCAAAGTCATGATTGGTCATATTTATATGGTAGCATCCTCGTATAGTGTACATACAAATTTGTTCGAATCATGACCCCCGGAGGTCGGGTGGGGCCACAATGGGCAATCAAAGTTTTACATTGGAACACATAGTAAAAATCTTTAAAAAAAACTATTTGTTAAGAATAGCAAAGCCATGATTGGTCATATTTATATGGAAGCATTCTTAGATAGTGTACATTCAAGTTTGTTCAAACATGACCCCTGGGGGTCGGGTGGGGCCACAATTGGTGATCAAAGTTTTACATAGGAATACATAGGTTAAATCTTTAAAAATCTTCTACTCAAGAACAGCAAAGCCATGATTGATCATATTTAAATGGAAGCATC